AATGTTCACTTTTCTATAGGCCATCTCCCGGTTCTCTTATTTGATCGTTTGACATTGCTGTTTTGCCTGCAAAGATTACACATACCAGATGTGGATATAACTATATAACTATAACTATAACTATAACTATATATATATATATATATAGATATAGATATACAGTCATAAGTTTCTAACTAATAATGGTTGCCAAAAAGGAGAATTTATCTGAGATTGTTGAGAGCACAAAGTAGTTTCTAGTTGAACCAATCAAAGGTATGCACTGGAATTCCTCTGACTCCAGGGAGAGCCCTGGCAGTTGAATAAAGTTTGCTTAAAAATGGTCAGGATTTTGTTATTAAGTAGTGGATCATTACAAACTATAGTCTGCATAATAGATAAAGATTAAATGAAAAAACAAAACACAAATTAAGCACAGTATACAATAAGAACTGTCCTGAGAAAAGCATCCGGGAATGACTACAGAATCTTTGGGATTGCTGCTTGAATTAAATAATGCCCGAAGTGCTATGGCTGCTATAAACAGTATGTTAATTTGTTCACTCTTTATGATTCATGAACTACTAGCCTTGATTTTGTCAATTATTTCCTATGCTGATTTTCTAAGATAAATTAATAAGTGAGTTTCCTTCATGGGAAGCCATTCTTTAGCCATGCATTATTTATGAAGACAAACATATAGGTTTAGAGTTTACTGTTTACCCACTCCAATGCCAATCTGAATTCCGTCGCATGGTTGTTAACACAAAACCTCCAAGGATTTGCTTCTGGATCTACTCTCTTTCTCGCCTATGGAACAACTACTAAAGTTGTTCTTCAAAACTCCACTTGATCTTCCAACAATTTGAATAATTACCATTTCCCAGGTTGTGTTTCATTATCTGGTCTTGAATTTCGCAGGACAGGAATTGTTTGATGCTGTTGCTGGCATATCCCGCAGTTGAAGAGGCAATCAAGAAAAGAGTAGAAATGAAAGCCAGAACATATGGGCAAGTAATTTTGGCTAATATAAATGACGATCCAATTCACAAAATAAATCCAAGCTTGGTAGCCGGCCTGCATGGCGACTGGATCATGCCGTTGACAAAGAAGTCCAAGTTGAATTCCTGTTGAGAAGGTTGGACAGGTTTGAATGAATAAAGAGAGTTTTCATTAGCTGTTTATGATGAAATAGAAATCATGAGAAGTGGGGGAGGAGGTTCACATTATATAGAGAAAAATAATTGCTGGTAAGGGGTTTGAAAACTTGAATACCACAAAAGTGATGTGATAGTGGTAAATGGATCAAGGAAAGAAAAGGACATTTTCCCTAAATTTGTTTCTCCATATAACTTTTTTCATTTTTGTGTGCGTTGGTACTGGGATATTTGCTTGTAATTTGGCATTATTTTTAGGTTTATGTGTGATATGTACTGTGATTTTCTCATATATGAATTGTTAATATATGTAAAGGGAGTCATAGGCTTTTTGTTTTTATCAAACTATGCCTATATTACCTTGATTCTGGAAAATCAATGTTCATAAACAAAGAAGCCCAAATCGTGTTTAATTTTGCTTCAAAAATTGTTAAGCAGCAAGGGTTCGGCTCAATGGCCCCAGTCTCCAATTCTGACACGCCATGCCTAGTGCTGGGATGCCTCATTAATAAAATTGGGCTTAAAATGGACCGGAGTTTTAGACCTTACAACAATCTGGCCTCAGGCCCTGGCTAGAAATCTTTGGACTTTGGGGCGTTAACGTCTAATCTTTTCCCAGTCCAAGCTTGTTTCGGTACCGCCAGAAGAGGTAAATGGACAGTCCGGTTGTTTTTTGATCAGATCATTTTAGATTGAATGAAAGTCATGTTACTTTAATATTTGAATTTAAGTCATTTTGAGTTTGAATCATTTTAAATTGAAATAATTAAATTTTAAATTATTTTAAGTTTAAATTATTTTATATTCAGATTATCATTAAATTTAAATCATTTTAAATTTGAATTATTGATTCTTTTATTATTAAATCATATTTGACCTAATTAAAATTGATTTGAGTGATAGGAGTTTTTTGAGTTCAAGTTAACTTTGACAATTCTAGCACCTCTTAAGTTTTTAAATTTTTGTTTATTTGATAGTAGGTGAATGATTTTTCATCTCATAAATGATAAATCTCATTTTATTTATCTCAAGATTCCAACATAAAAATTCCAAAACGAAGCCTTACTCTAATTACTAGGGTATCCCTTTGGGATCAAACCTCTAAGTTTTCATCCTTTTCTTTTGACTTTGATCATGAACGATAATTTGATTTAGTTGATAAAATTGAATGAATCAATGGTAATTGATTTTTAGTTCGAGTCTCGTTAGTGGCTTATCTAGTTTAATATACACTTTAAAATAAAAAGATCGAAACGATTTAATTACAAAAAATAAAATTTTGATTTAGTGAAAAAAAATCTTAAAATTTTAAAGTTTTAGATTCAAATTTCAATGCATGTAGATTTGATTGTTTAATTTTGTTTTAATTTGTTAATTTATTATTCATTTATGTTAACTTGATTACAATGTACTAATTGATTATTAAAAAAATAACCTATTTACAACAAGACTTATTGACGGCAAAAATGCAAATATTTACACTTATATAGGTGAAAACACAAAAAAGTACAAGTTAACTTTATAATATTATAATATATAAATTTGATAATTTATATATTCATATCATATTTATTTTACGTGAAACATATTTAAAACATAAAAATTATTTTATCACAAGTCATATATGGTAAATATGAAACACATATTTTGATTTTTATTAAATTCATATATAATTTTTTATTAAAATTTTAATTCGTATCATTTTCGTATTTTTTTAACGTTTTTATATCATATTTTAAATTATGTAATTATAAACTGAAAGAAGGGCGTAGAACGAAGACATAAATGGTTGAGCTTTGAATTGTAGCTAGCTTGAGAAGAAAATGGTTTAATTTTAGTCATTCCAATGCTTAACAAAAATGAAATATCGTTGGGCCTCTTTAAAGTTTAATAATCATCAAGAAATGAAATATCCTTGAGTGGAAGAATGTTGATATATCCCATAAATATTGCATATAGTTAGACTCAACAATTGACAATTCTATAGGGAGGCCTAAAAGTTTCCCAAAAAAATGGAAAAAAAAATTGAGTTTCTTAAATATGAGTTTTTTTTTTAGATACATTTTAAAAAATTTTATTATTTTTATTTGACACTATAGATTTTGAATTCTAATTATCAAACTTTAATAGTCTAATACTCTAAAAGGACTGCTGTTGGCTAAAAAAAAAATTATTTTGGTGAGTTATTATGGTGAACTAAGTATAGCTTTAATTATCCTCACTAAATTGACATAGAATATGTTGGTGTACATTATGATGAACCTACTATCATAATAATCACAATGAACACAAGGGGAAGATACACTTGATTTAAAAAAAAAAAAAAATTTACAGCATTTCTTCAGTCAAATCTCATTGTTCCTAGCCTATATGGACCATTGCCATTACCACCTCCATTACCAGAGAAATTAATAATGCTTCTATTTCACAAGCAACACCAAATTATTAAACAATTTATATACCCCACTATGGATTTTATAATTACATGAAATTTACAGATTCAGTTTTGGGTAAAAAAATATACATTATCACTGTTGATTAAGGGAGATAATTAGAGGGTAAAACCTAAGAAGCCAACTTAGCAATGTAGACAAGTGCAAGTTTGGGGGGTCATGGCCATGCCTATATAATCAATTCTACTAAATCTTATATTTTTGTCTTTTTATTGCAAAATAATATTTTAAAAAAATTATAGTTTTTTATCTTACTTCTTGTAGACAAAATCCTAAAATTTTAAGTTATTTTCATGGTCATTGTTATTTTGGGTCACAATTCTTAGTTTTCCTCTGTTGTTGTCATTGCATTTTTTTTTTTAAGAGATTGTCATTGCATGTTTTAAATGCATGTATATAATGAACTATTTTTCTAAATTCAAAAAAATAAAATTTGAGTTATTTAATTATCACTTGTATAAATGAAATAATAAAATAACCATATATTACAAATTAATTATAAAACTACTAGCAACAGAGAAAATATGGTTCACAACAAAAAAATGTTAAATTCCCAATCATAAAATGCAATTAAAAATTATAATTCATATATCTATGTTGTATTTTGTGTCAAACATGCGTAAAATATAAAAATTATCTAGATATTTTATCCAAAATTATCATATTTATTATAAATCAAAACGAGAGTCAAACTGTCCTCTCTGATAAAGATCTATAAAATTTTTTATAGAATAATTTAACCTTAAGATTCTCCGCAAAGTGCTAAAAAGAAAACATTGGATACTATTTGAGAGTGATAAAATGAATAAGTGAAAAAGTAAAACAAAAATAACAGTTAAAAGAATCCAAACAAACTTAACTGAAAGTTAAAAGGTGAAAAAAAAGAAAAAAAGAAAAAAACAGAACAGCGTGAAATGTTGAAATTCTGTCTGTAACACAAATGACCAAGACAAACAACACAGTGAAGTTGAAGCAAAATTCTTGCTAAAACTTGTGAACATAAAATATGGATTTTGTATTAACCCATTTTACCATTCCCAAACTTAAAAAAAAAAATCTTAGGCAATTGTCGATAAAGATATAGATTTGAAAATTTTTATATTTATATTTGTTTATTTCATATCAAATATGTAAAATATAAAAATTATTGTTTCATAATTCATACTAATATATAAAATTTTTTTTATTTTTGTCAAACTCATACAATTTTTATTAAAATTTTAATTTGTATCACTCTTAAATTTTTCTCATATTATTTTCATTTCTTTTATCGTTTAAAATTGTATGCTAAACCACCCAAAGAGAGAAATAATCTTTTATCTATAAGCATGAGCTGGCTATAGCTTATTATAAACAAAACCAAAACCAACCCAAAGAAAAGCAAAGAAAAACTTAGCTGAAGAGAAAGAGCAACGGAGAGAAGAAAAGTGATGATGGTAGTGGCAGCTGTGGCATTTGCTTTAGTGGTGATGGTACCACAGGCTGATGCCACAAGGTTCATTGTGGGAGCAAATATGGGGTGGACTAGCAATGTGAATTACACTATCTGGGCTCAAGGCAAGCACTTTTACAATGGAGACTGGCTCTGTAAGTTCTTTCTCTCTTGTTTTGGTTCATTTATCTTTAGATCTACTTGCTGTAGCTTTTCTTTGCTTCTTTCTCTTATAGTGTTTTTCCATTAGTGTTGGGCACCTTATTTGCTTTCATCTTGTTTTTGGCTTATATGGTTTCTAAATCAATAGATCTAGATTTGAATAGTTTGAATGAAGTGATAGTCTTAAACCTTGAGCTGTCTTGGTTTCCTGGAATGCTAAGCTTACCTGCTGTTTCTAGTAATTTCGTGGCTATTGGATGGTTACTTTAGTTTTTGCTGTCACTAATCACTTTGTTAAACTAAAAAAGGGAAGCTTTTGATCTAGATTTAAAAGAAGAGATTTTTCACTTTTTTGTGTTTATTGGTCTACAAGGCTGATATTAAGGTTCATTCTTTTAGCTGCCCAGAAAATGCAGGGAGAATAAAGGAAAAGTGTTACCTTATTTTTTATGTGATGCTCGATAAAGATTTTCTTATTTCATTGGATTTTTTTTGCTTAATGTGATAGTCCCAGATCTGGAACCTTTGCTTAGTATCTTCTTCATTTTACTGCAATCAGTTCTCAATCAATGTGACATATATATATATATATATATATGTATGTATGTATAATCTGTTGTAGGGTCTTCAGTGTCAAAAATGATCATTCAGATGAACACCAGCTTTGAGGTTGAAATTATAACTCCTGCAACCCCATCTCCTATCTGCGCCTCTATTATTAAAAAAAATTGGTGACTCAGTGCAAAAATGAAATCTTTTCAGTGAGAGGTTGTCTTGAATCCTTTTCCTCCTTTTCCCAATCATAGGCCAATCTGGTCTTTGTTCAGGGCTGAGTGAACAATTCCAATTTCTATAAATTCTGTCAGCTAAAAATAGATTGAATTTCTAATATAGGAAAGTTGATTAGCCTCTCTAAGTACTGTTCTTTCCCCTGTCGATTGGGACACTATCTGCTAGAACCAGATAGTGTCAAATAGATTACTATTAGTTTTCGTTGACCAGTTTTTTTGGTGCTTGATTCTGTTTATTAAAGCTTCAAATTAATTGATAGAAACTAGGAACTAGTCACACATCTACAGGTTTTCAGTCTAATCTGGAACCCGAACTTAGGTTAGTTGGTTTATATAGTCAAAAGAGACATCTATTAGCTCTAAGGATCAAATTCCAGCACCTGCAATCTCTTTGTTTATCGTTGGCTGCAACCTCACATGTATCAAAAAGGATAAACCAATCCGTCACATATATGAAAGACTGGCTACTATCTAATTGCTGCTTGTATTGTATTGCAAACCCCAATTTTGAGTTGTAACTAATTCAAATTATAGAACCTTGTTTCAAATATGGCAATTAGTTAACTATCTGCTTTTATGTCTGTTGTTTTTTGTCCCAGTTTTCGTGTACGATAGAAACCAGATGAATGTGCTAGAGGTGAACAAGACAGACTATGAGTCATGTAATTCTGATCATCCACTTCATAACTGGACAACAGGAGCTGGAAGGGATGTGGTTCCACTAAACGTGACTCGTCACTCTTATTTCATTAGTGGCAAAGGGTTCTGCTATGGCGGCATGAAGCTAGCTGTTCGTGTCGAGAACCCACCTCCACCTCCCATATCGTCTCCTTTAAACGAAAAGAGTGGCTCACCAAGTTCCCTTTACAGAGGCCAGATTGTTTTACCAGCTGTTTTAGCTATTGGTGCGCTGTGGTATGCATTTGCCCGCGTCTGGTAGTAAACATCTGGATATCAAGATCATATTCCATTTTCTTCTTAAATTATTGGTGTAATTTTTCCATTTTTTCTCTCTATTTTCATCATAGTTGATCTGAACTAGCTACGGGGGGTGTTGTGTAATCTTTAAGGTAGTGAATGGTGCTTGAATTTGGAAACATATTGGGGTGTGCTAGCAAATTGCAATGCTATTCAGTTTTGGAAATGAAATTCATGGGGTCCAATGCAAGCCACTGCTTTTGAAATTCACATCACCCACTGATCAAACAACGTACCTTTTGCCATGTCAAACAACCCCTATTTCTTTTCCCATTTTGACCTCTCATTGACTCACTGTACATGTGGAGGATGACAAGGCAGAAAGTTTTCCACTATACCAAGGATCGCTTGGAGTGTCAATATTTACCACATTTGGATGGAAATAAACATGCTATACGGACACTTACAAGAGTCCTTCATTCATGTTCTTGATCATATTAGGGAAGTCGTTAGATTGAGATTAGCAGGATTGATGCATCTTGAACCAAACTATGTAAATAAAAATCTTTGCTTTTCTTGCAATTTAAATAGCTTTATTTTTTATGAGTTTATATTTGATGTATTATTAGTATATAGATCTTATAAATTATTAGTGAATTAAATGATCTCATATCATCAATAACCAAATATAAAATTTTACAAATCCTTAAAATAACATATTAAAAAAATTTTTTTTTATTGATGAGATAATATTATCTTGTTTATTGATATATTATAAAATTTATATATTGACAATATATTAAATATAATCTTTTTATATATGATTCATCGTTTACTAGCTAAATTAGCTAGAATAATTCTATGATGTAACAATATTAATGTTTTTCTTTATCTTTTGATGAAATTATATGCTTATAAAAAAAGACCTTCACTACACATTCCATAGATTACTTATCTGCAATGTAAGTATATGACCTAAGAAATCCTTTTTCCTTGCTTTTAATGCAACTCATAACCAGAGTTTCTCTTCATCATGCCTTTATATATGTCTAGAGGCTGTGTCATCATGCGGGCAGGAAGCAAAGTTGTGGTGCTCTTCTTTGCTCTAGCTCACCAAATGCTCCAACGTACTGCTCTGCAGCCCTCATTCCCGTCGCTTCCTTTCCCGGCCATGGATGAACCTATTGCAAGTGAAACATCCCTTATCCCCTTTCAGCAGCACGTGCATTTGCAAGTATGGGATAAAATCGTAAATCTTACACTAATTGTGTATTAAAATTGATTTTGAAATATGAGAATTCGTACTACCTTCAATTTTTGAGACATTAAGATAAAATCATAAAATCTAATAAACTAAAAATGATATTACTTCATAAGTTGACGTGAATCATAATATTTAATATCAAAATTTGCTCTAAAAGTACTAGTGATGTGCCATTGAGAATGGTAGACCCTCGTTAAAGTGAAGAGAATCTCGTGATCTTAAAAATGAGTCATGAATATCATATTATTTATATACTAGAATTAGTTATGAGATATTAGTATTCATATCATTTTTAACTTGTAAGACATCTTTGTAAGATAAAATAGTTTATCTAAGAGTGTAAATGATAAACCAATACTTGCAAATTACTCAAATTTGGTTCGGATAAAATTCGAATTCAGTTCAGTCATTGTCGAGTGCGAGCTTGAGTTTAAATAACTTGACTTATTGAACGAATCAAGTTTAGACATCATAATTTTTTATTCGAATAGCTCGTTCTTATTCGAATAGTTCGTGAGTTTAATCGAATTTTAAAATTTTAATATATTTTTATTATTTTAATTAAAAAATTACTATTTTATCTTTATATATATATATATATATCAATTTGAGCTTAAACTTAAGTTCGAACATATAATCAAGTTTGAAATCGAGTATGAAAATCAAATATATTTTTTATTAAACAAACATAATCGAACGAATTTAAATAATTTAATTTTTATTTCGAATCAAACTCAAATTTAAAAATTAAAATTCAATCAAACTCAAGTTAAATTTCAAACAATAAATTTCAAATCAAATTCAAGTTTAAATTTTTTACTAAATTAACTCAACTTGATTTGATTATATACTTTAATTCATCTAATAAATTAAAACGTATAATATTTTATAAGTTAAACAAATCATAATATATAACCTCTACTTCCCTTTTTGTTCATTAACCAAATCGTTATTTTCCTCAAAGTACTATTTTTTATATTTTTTTGGGTCAAAATGACTTGTTATTAATATATATAGATATCATTTTATACATCATCTTACACGTAAGATGTTAGTCATCACATACAAACTGTCTTTAATCGTATTTAATTAAATTAGACTTTTTTTTATGGATGCAGGTTTTTAATTTCGTATACAGCAAAATAAAATGTTTTCTTCTTTTATGATATAACTCCTCTAACCCCATCACAAAAAATAATATAAAAACAAATTATTCCTTATCAAGGATAGAAAGGTCAATCAGGAAAACAACGATGGTAAATTAGGAAAAGAAAAAAATAAATTTAGGGTTTGGGGATTATATGTCTATATAAAGAGAAAAAAATGAGGACGATGGAAAGCGGGCCTGAGGCCGAGCGCTTCCCCCGTAAAAGAAGGGGTGGCGTGGTATTCCACGGAGAGAGGTCCTTTACATATCGTGGCGCACGTCAGTGCGATAGGCGCATACTAACACAAATTTTTTTGTGGGGGATTTCCATGGCCGCTTTGCTGCTTTAGTTCTTGTAGCCAAAGCGAGGGTATAGCCCTACATTACTCTTCTTTTTTTTTTTTTCATTTATTTTTTTATTTTTAACCCAAATATAATTGGGTTTTGATATATAGGCAGTTGGCCGCTCATTTTTTGAAAAAAAAAATCTTTTTTAGGAATCATTTGACAATATTTAGTTTTTTACTTTTTTTTTTCTGCTTCTTGGGTTGGTACTAGTCATGTGATTTGTTCTTCTTTACTTTTTTTTTTTCTTACCCTCATTTATGAATCTTTGGGGGTTTTTGGGAGAATGGAGGAGAATTTGGAACAAGGGAAACTGTTGGTAGACTGGTTCAATTGTTACTGAGAATGATTGAAAAGAACTTGGTTGAAAATATAGTGAACCAAAAAGTGAAGATTAATTCCTTCTTTTCCAAGGAAAAGTTGCATTACACCTTATGAATTTTAAGATTAATTTTTTTTTCTGCTTCTTGGGGTGGTACTAGTCATGTGATTTGTTCTTTACTTTTTTTTTTCTTACCCTCATTTATGAATATTTGGGGGTTTTTGGAGACATGGAGGGAATTTTGGAACAAGGAGAAACTGTATAGGTAATGGTTCAATTTTACTGAGAATGAGAAAGAACTTGGTTGAAATATAGTGAACAAAAGTGAAGATTAATTCCTTCTTTCAGAAAGTTGCTAACCATGAATTTAAGATAATTTTTTTTTGCTTTTGGGTGACTAGGTGATTGATTTTTTGTTTAAATTTAGATATTTGGGGTTATGGGAATTTGGAACAAGGAGAAACTGCAGGTAGGTAGAGTGGTTCAATTGTTACTGAAAATGATTGAAAAGAACTTGGTTGAAAATATAGTGAACCAAAAAGTGAAGATTAATTCCTTCTTTTCCAATGAAAAGTTGCATTACACCTTATGAATTTTAAGATTAATTTTTTTTTCTGCTTCTTGGGGTGATACTAGTCATGTGATTTTTTTTCTTTACTTTTTGTTTTTTTACCCTCATTATATTTGGGGGTTTTTGGGAGAATGGAGGATAATTTGGAACAAGGAGAAACTGTAGGTAGAGTGGTTCAATTGTTACTGAAAATGATTGAAAAGAAAGTGGTTGAAAATATAGTGAACCAAAAAGTGAAGATTAATTCCTTCTTTTCCAATGAAAAGTTGCATTACACCTTATGAATTTTAAGATTTTGTTATAGTTTTCAAGAATTTGATTTTGCATTTTTTTTATATAATTGATATTGAGCAAATAATGGAGGATGAAAATGTGAACAATGGTAGCACTGAATGCAATGAATTTGCTTGCTTGAAAGCCTGTACAAATATTTGCCTACTTGCAATTCTTGCTTGGATTTTCCATTACTAAAAAGAAGCCCTTTTGCATCATTTCCCTGCCAAAACCAAAAAACCAAAATTTCATCAGTTTTCTTGATGATTTAGCCATATCATTTTCAGACAAAGGAATGCAGAAGCTTGGCTTTGCCATACCTTTATGAAATCTTGATCTTCCAGCTACTTGCCGTGCATGGTTAAATACTGCATGTGAATTAAAGATGCTGCATGTGATCTTACCATATTATTATTTTTGGCAGTTAATTGTTCCTGTTGAAATGCCATTGAGTAATCTTGAGGTTGGAATACATCACTTGCATCAAAAAAATCTGACCTATCAAACATGTTTTGCGCCTGCTGATCAGTTGCATAAAACAAACCATGCCTAGAATCAGTATGAACACCTTCAGCAACATCTTTATTCTCTTGTTTCGTCAGGTTAGACGTATTATTACTATTTGAAAAGGTGAAGCTGGATAAATCTGCATCACCAAGTTGACTCAATGAAGAAGCCTGATTGTAGGAAGTTGTAGCTGTGGAACCATATCGGTCCTTTGCCCAGAAAAGCTGCTTGATACTGTCAATGGTGGTGGAGCTGTGAAAATATCACCTTGAGATACAGTTGTTTGAGATTTCTCTGACCTTGTATCGAAGAACAAGAGATTCAGCTGCCCTCTATGGGCAGTACCTTCTTTTCCCTTGGGATTGTTTGTAGTGAAACTAGCTCTTACAAGCAAATTGAGTATTGTCTCGCAGTTCCTGCATACGTAAATGAAAGCAATTAATAGTTAACTCTTTTCCTTAACATCAGATACACTCACGTACCTTCTGGGAGAGGGAGGGAGAGACCTTTTTCCATGGTATTTTACTGAATGTTTGGTTCTTGAAAAGTTTTACGATGTCTTCTTGTCTTTCTTGATACTCCAGAATCTCGGGTTCTAGATCCGGACTTCTTCCTGATATTATAATGAACAAAGATATATAATGAAAGGAATTGAGTTGAATATTTAACTCAATCAGTTTATTCAATCACTTCAAAATGTGACATTTGAATTCATATCTTAACATACACAATCTTTTTATAGATCTCTCAAGTTTGACCTCATTTGATGGAATTGAGCTAGTGAAACGACCAAGCATTCAGTTTTTCATAATTGGTTGATGTACAAATTTATATGATATTGCATTTAGGATTCAATCATAATCATTTTGGTGTTAGGACTAATAACACTGGCCTCTTTCTTTTCCCCAAGAGAAACAAAATATTGATCATGGATATGAGATGGAAAAAATGGATAAATCATTGTAGCTCCGAATCTAAGAATAGGCTTTTGGCTAGACTACTGCAGCAGATAGAACAAATTTCAAAACAAGGAGTGAGAATTTCACTTTCGTAATTCATTGCGCTACTTAGCATCAATTTCTTTATTAGGTGAATACTTTGGAAAGCTAGATAGATCACAGGCATAGAGTTTTGTGTGGAAATACTGAAAGAGAGGCAAAAGATAAACATGGAATCAGCAAACTAACAGTGACTGAATCATGTCATAATGCAAGAATTTCAGTCATATTTTGGATAAAATCGGAGAAAAAGAACTGTTTACAAGCTCATCCTGAACTGACGTGCAATTATTTTGGTGGCATTACCTCAGACATTAGTGATGAAGAAGCAGTTCTACGCCTATGGGGTTTGACCGAAAGAAGGGCTTCCAACAAGTTCATTGCAGTTGCAGGAATGTCTTTACACCTCACGCGAAGAGAACTTTCATATGGATGCTGAGGTTTAAACATGGTTGGATGAAGAAGCCTAATCTTTTTCCAATACTCATCAGGTGGGGAACCACATTGCTTAAAGATTTTATGCAGTTGTTCGACCTGCCAAATGAAGCAGAAACCAATCTACTTGAGCGGCGTAATGAGATCAAGTTTGCCCGCTATCATGAGATGTCGAATAATTCAGATAAAATAAGAAGGCAATGCAATATAACACAATCACCTCAGTTCTCCCTTTTAGTATAGGCTTTCCCATAAGAAGTTCTGCAAAACACACCCTAGACTCCATAGATCAACTGAGACTTCATAATTTGTTGACCCCGTCAGAAGTTCAGGCGGGCAATACCATAAAGTGACTACACGACTAGTTAATTGTTGCCTGTTTTTGGAAGTAAGGATGTTTGCCAATCCAAAATCCCCCAAGTTCAGAATCCCTTCATTGTTTACCAGGATGTTAGATGCTTTAATATCTCTATGCATTATACCTTGCAGATGGCAATGCTCAAGTCCCAATAATAGCTGCTTCATATAGCACTTCACCTTCAAAGAAAGGTGAGGCTAAACTGAACTTAAACATTGAAGAATTGAAGATATCATGATCATTGGAAAAGCTGACAGATGAGTCACCTCGAGTTTCAACTACAACCAAAATCTATGGCTTTTCAGACATATCATAAGATACAATACAAACCTGTGCCTCACTGAAATTGATATCAGGAGAAGAAGATAGTCCTGCAAGATCATGCTCCATGTACTCGAATACAAAGTAGACAGTACTTGAAAACCGAGATGTGATTACCCCTTCCAGTTTCATGATATTCGGATGGTCAAGCCTGTGTAGAATTGTTATTTCTCGTGCCATAAACCTAATGGTTTCTGGTTGAAAGTTGTCAAACCGCACCTTCTTTAAGGCAACCATCCTTCCCGCTTCAAACTCGCATGCTTGGAATACGCGGCTGTGTGTACCTTGTCCACTCTGCATGAATATTAGGGATTGAAAAGAATTCTTGTCAAAATCAGGATTCACGCAATGACCAAATTATGAACACCTACTGTCGAAAAATAAGAAAGAAAAACAATCATCACCAGAAAAAACAAAATGGTACAATCAGTATAATGGACTTCATGTTTGACACTGCAAAACATCTGGCCTGCTTGTCATCAAACAAGATATCCATTGCTGCAACAAACTATAGCCATAATTTAGTAGTCTATCATTCGACCAACAGTTTCAGAAAAGAAAAGAAAAGAAAATGTTCCTAAATTAGGAAATTTATATCAAACAAAGGGATGCTTACAAATGTGCTCACAAATTTGACAGCAGTTGACAATTAAACAAACCAACTTCAAATGACATAATGCACTTGATTTGAATTCACGATTAGAAAAATTCCACTTCAAGTTATTTTGATGGGAAAAACTTATAAAATTTTAAAAATAAAAATCAAAGGTACCTTGTCCAGTTTCTCAAAAGCATCAGCCTGTAAAGGCACCCAACCATGAACAGCTTCACCCGCAGCTCAGCTTAGCCAAGCAGGCCACCCGACTGCAACCTGTTCAGCCTCCACAGCCTATGAGAAAAGCCTAATTTGAAGCTAAAAGAGCCACTCCTCCTACTAGAATTTCCTCTCTTTGATTTCCTCAACTCGCGGCTTCTCTTTGGATGGTGATGGTTAATAGTTTTACCATTTTCATCCAATTTCTTATCACCTCTATCAACCTCTAAACTCCCAGATTGTTGTTTTGATGATAAAGAAGAAAAAATCAAACCATGGCTATTATTCCGAACCACTGAAACAGGGGAGGCTGCCACAATGTTGCCTCCTTGTTTGGAGGTAATGCAACCCATTTGGCTCGAAGCCAAGACTGACCCAGATCAGGAAAAACAGTCCGGATTAAAAATGGGAAGTCACTCCCACGTCAGGCCCAAAGGGTAAGCGTTTATCTGGGAAACAATAGAGAAAATTTGAGAAAAAATGAGAAACAGAACAAAAACAGAGTTATGGAGAAGAAGAAAACAAGAGAAACAGGGCAAAAAAAAAAGAAACAGAGTTTTGTTTTGTTATTTCTTTATCTGTCTGTCTTGTTCTTTGCTTACGAGATCTGTGGAGGCAATGGAAGGATACCAAGGAAGCATTTCACATCTTTTATTGTTAGAATGGAGGTTTCTTGATTTTGCAAAAGGTTAAAAACTTGACAGTTGGGAAGTTTCTTCTTGTTTTTCTTTTATATCATATTCCTGTTTGTTGATTTGGTTTTCATTGATACACTACAAAAAATTATTAGAAACCAAATGAAAAAGAATAATAGAAGCAAGACAGAATTTTAGGAGAAATTATTAAGTAGCCCTTTCTGTTTATTTCTCATCAGCCATAGATTCGTAAATCAAAATGTGTTACGACTTTTAATTTATGTGTTACATCTTGACTTATCAGGCTGTGATCGACAAAACGTGTTACAACTCTTACTTATGTGTTGCATCTAGATTATCGCTATACAATCAAAAATATGCGTGACAACTTTTAATTATGTGTTGCATCGTTATTTGTTGGGCTAATTGGAGTTCCTTCCTGTTGTAGCGTAGGCTAACTGTTCTAACAGCTCCACTGCAAACGCAATCCTGTCAGTCAAGGAAAGTGGTTTAAGTTTGTTGATTGGTTAATAAACCTTTTGAATCATTTTGGAGGTTTAAGCGGTGATAATTAGTAATTATTATATTGAAGTTAGTTAAAGGGTGCCTTAGAATTCTATGTTATAGTTTATGGAGGATTTGTTGTTACATCTTTTAATGGTTCCAAGCATTTTGATTTGATAATTGATGGATGTATTTTTCTTGTTCTTTCTTCAAAAAAAGAACAAAAAAAAGATGCACATGCAACATTGGAATTTAGTTTTATTTCTGTCCAAGAGTTTAATGAAGCAAGGTCTAAAAGGCAATGCCAGCCAGCTGACTCAAAAGCATAGGCTAGACCTAAAAGTTTAAACAGCATGGAAGAAGAAATGGTTGAAACCATCTTTCTAAAGGGGGAGTTATGGCCTTTTCATCGAATTATGTGAGGAGAAAGCTACAATCAATTTGTTAATCGGAGTTGGGGGCAAAACAATAAGCAGCTCCTGGTTTCTTACAACTGAAATCATGGGTTTGTTGGACCAAACTTGGTACAATGTGATCGCATTAAAAACATTTTTTTACGAAATTCTGACCAAGCTGTTTATATTTGTTATACTATAACAATCATGTCATCAACATTAAGACGTGGTCGTATACATGGCCTCAAGGAAGACATGGCACTTGTACAGACATCACCACCCCTGAAATATGAAAAGGAATTGTTAAGAATATCATCAAACATGCGTATTACTCTCCCTCGACTGCTATCCTCCCCTCACTACCTTAAGTGTCGGGCGCATCCCAGAATCCAAACTGCAGTGCTCCATGACCTTCTCTCTTACATATTCGACAGGCTCACCAACTAAACTCCCAGCGGATCTGACTCTCATCAAATTAAAAAATACCTCGACAATGTTACTATAAATGTATAAAAGGAAGTTCTAATTTTCAAGTTGAGATATTAGATTTCAAGAAATCATCTCTTAACAGCGTCAAGTAACTTTTAGGCTCTTATGCTGTTTTAAAAGGCTATTGCAGCAATCAAATGTACCCTTGGTCAATAAAACATGGTTACCATGACTGAAAAGAAATGGTTAAAATGCATGGCAAAGTGACCATTATCTGATCTGAAAAACAATTATGCAATGTCCTAAGGTAATGGAAAACAAAGTTTCTCGAGCTACCACATTATTCCAATGTGAAAAACAAACATGAAGAATTGGATAATGTCATAAAAGCATTAAGTAGATCTATTGCCATAAACCTCCAAGAAAACCTAGCCATCGACAGATAAGAAGGACCCCAGTTTACGAATTGGTCACTTGGCCTCTAGATCAAAATGCCTATTGTTATTAACTAAATCTACAACGTAGAAATCAATGCCTGCATCAACAAGCCTGGCAACTTGAACAACACCTAACATATGTTACCTTCTCCAAAAGAGTGTAAACAAATATACAACAGTACTTACGAATTCCAATATACAAAACTGGGTAGTCAATACAGCACTCCTATTTAACCAAATTATGGTGCAGCAGCTATTATAATTTGATTTTTATCATGTTTGTTTCAACTTTTCTGCCATATACTTATTCATTTCATAATCGTGTTAGTTGGCTGGGATCAGAAGCTGAACCTCCTATTACTTAACTGGTTTGAGCATGGGAGTTACACTTTTATTTGCTCCTCTTTTAGCCTTAAAACTGCTGGTCCCTGGACATTTTTTCCAAAATCCATCTCTTGAAGTAAAGCATGCTTCTCGGCCACCACCTTGTGTGGTTTTGGCTGTGGCAAAATATTGTTGAATGTGTTGTGGCTGCTGTTTCTAGCTGCTGGGACATCATGATTATGCTTTCCCTCATACGTTGTTATGACAGCTTTGGGATCTGTTGAAGCTCTTTCTACATGCTTCCGAACGTTGCATCCTGCACTCGTGCATTTGTAATAGCTCCTGTTGGCAATACTTAGATACATCAGAAAAAGTCCCAAAAAGGAAAAAAAAAACTTGTAATTGAAGTACGGCAGCTTGAAAGCAAAACAAATATTACTAGTGTAGTTGAAACAGATCATGCAGAGTGTCACAATCTACACCAACTTGTAAGATATTATCCGCTTCGGCCTATTGGACCCCACGGTTTTGTTTCACAAAAAAGGCCTCACAAATTGAAGGTGGTGTGAACACTTGTATTCCAAAACCAACTCTAGTACATAGCCAATGTGAGATTCATGACTCCTCTCTAAGACCATGACATCGAGCATATGAATTAACTAACCAGGACATACTAGATCCATTCCTAATACAACAGGTAACAATGATTTAAGTGTTTTTCTACACAATGAACAGTTAGCCGTCTCCTTCACTTAAATCTTATCTTTGAAGGTGGATAAGATCAGAGGCCCTTGAATTGATACTGCCATAATTTAAAAAAAAAATTTATAACACACCCATCAAATATATTTTACCACCAATAGTTGTTAGCACTTTCAACTGAAAAGAGTTGCTATATAGATATGTTACATGGGAACTAGAAAAGTTAAAAAAAAAAAAAAAGAAAGAGCAACAACATAATAAACTCAAAGTCACAAACAAATGGACTAATCCACATTAATACGTGTATCCACAACAAGATAACAGCATTGCTACTACATCTGCATTTATCAAATCAGTACCAGATAAACAGTATTTAAAAAGCAAAACAGGGAGATGAATTTGATGACAGTACCATCTATTCTGCAGCATGAGTTCCTTTAACTTAGGGCTTAGTTTTGCATTTGTAGTTGGGATGCAAAACTGTGGTCTAACAATTTGATGGATGCTTTGAGCAGATGAAGAATAAGGTTATCTTTCCATTTTAAGTTTCTTATCTTCAACAAAATTTCAGCCAATATGCACACATATTGAGAGAGATTGGGGGTGTAGAATAGCCCACTCCAGCAGAAAATCTAGCCAATATCTATTGACGGTAGACAATCAAGAAAGGTTTTTTCTATAAAATACATACTCAAGGTCTTTTATCAATTTATTGTTTAAACGCAAGAAAATACAAAAGTCACAATGATTAGCAGTCCTAGGGGTGTATGCCTAGAATTGAAATGCTACAAGAAATTAGATCATAGTGCTTTTGAAAATCAATTATAAGATAATATCAAGCAGTCAATTTGCCATTGTAAATCACTCAGAAATTTATACCCAGTGCTAAAACGTCATTAGGTGTAGATTTTGTTTTATCATCAAATGGTTGTAGAGTTCAATACTGTCAATTAATAAAGTTTAAGCTTATAAGGAGAATGAATATTAGAATGTCTTTAACAGAGAGGCAGCTGTAAATTTAATTAATCAGGAAAATGTTCAGCGGCGGAATTAAGGACATAATGTAATTATTAGAACAATAGACAAACAAACATAAATATAGTCCATTGCACCTTGGATGAGGGTTCCCCTTAACCACTTTCTGCCCATATTTGCGCCATCTATAGCCATCATCTAAAAGGTCCACTTCACTTCTTGTTTGCACAATAATTTTTGGTTCTGTAACTGTCTTGTGTGACAAGACTACTGCAGGTTCTCCCGCAGTGTTCCTGCAGTCGAAAGCACAATGCTATAAAGTTATGAAGATAGAAGAAATATGAATCTGCATGATCAGTTACAATTAGATTTGAAACTTGCCTTCTTTTCGGATTTGGTTCATCATCCTCTCTTTCTTCTCTATTCTCTTCATCACATCCTTCCTCACTGTCACTTGATCCAGGTAATTCCACAGCCACTTGAGCAGATTCTTTATTTTTCCCAGTTATGGAATGAGCTGGTACAGCTTCACTTAACTTGTTCAAATTTCCAGCTACACCCTGAGAACCTAATTCAAGATTAGATTGCGAATTTGCATTTCCATCCGCTCCACCCTTTGCTTGTTTAGTCGGTTGAGGCTTGTCATGATTGTGTGCGCCTTTGTATATAATTTCAGTTATTTGGCCCTCAGCAGATCGCTCAACCTTCTTTTTGACAGGGCAATTCAGATGTGTACATTTATAGTAGCTTCGCGGATAGTCACAGCCTTTTATAGGCTTCTGTCCATACTTACGCCAGTTGTAGCCATCTTCAGCAGGTTTATCCACAGCAATAGAAGGCTGACTTCTCCTATCAGATTGAGAAGCTTCTGAGTATTCCATTGCCGAAGATTGAGGGTCAGCAGCTGAAGGAGGCATCTGCTGTGAAGTTTCTTCAGGATTGAAGGATGGATGATGGGTCAATGACTCTGAAGCAGCTGCTGCTGAAAAAGTTTGATATTCTGCTTGTGCACGCACATTAGATTGGGCAAGGACAGCTTGAGCTGTAACCTGTGCCAATGCTTGCTGGTGGGATATTCCAAAAGGACTCTGCACAAATTATGGAACAAAAGTTTGGTTAACTGATTGTCATCAAAATAATAATATGGATGCTGTAGATTGATAGCCATCAACATGGCACCAAGTGACAGAATAAACTAAGATTTTAATGACAATCAAGACAAGATAAGTAGGTCATCCTTTCCAACTTCTGGGTTCAATTGCTATATTTGACATACTCCCATGAGTTCTATACAGAAGGCTGAAGTGAAAGGGAAGACACACATCTAACCATCAATAACAAAATCTGCATTGAGACCATACATGTCAAATGGTATTCCATCCAATTCTCGAGTCAACAGCAACAAGTTTCAATGTGTCAATTTACGTTAGCATTAATATCTCCAGCAACATTTGAACCAGTAACCAGGGAATGGCAATTTTGCAAAAAGGAATTCACAATTCTGAACAGTTCAACATCTCATGCTAAACCAAAAGTTCAGTTTTGATGCAGGCCAAAAGAATTCGTCATAAAAGAAGAAAATGCATAATAAGCTGCGCATCCACGACCAAACAGATCAAGTTGATCAACAGACCAATTAGTTGATCATAAAATTCCCAATAGAATGGCTTAAAGAACATAACCATAAGCGTCTCTAAGCTCCTGACAACACCCCCCAGTGAAACAAAAACAAATTCTTTTAATTATTTAGAGACTAAAAGCTGTTAAGAAATCAATCATAAAAACATAATAAACTACATTGAAATTCAAGATACCCTAACCACCCAAATCATTTACCTCAACCAAAGTAATAAAAACCGATTCTTTTCTTCTTCTTTTTTTTTTTCTTTAAACCCCAGAATAAAGCCGACCCATAATTAAAATAATAATATAACTCAATTTACCTGAGGAGAAAGACAAAAGAAGCCAGGAGAATTAAGCAAGCCAGAAGGGCTTAGCCCGGGAGGCACAGTGAACAAAGGAGACCTAGCAACAGCCAAATTCAAAGGTCTACTCTGCTTAAACCCAGGACTTTTTTCACCCCCATCTTTAAAACCCACTTCCATAAATGAACCATCCGTTGAATTGTAAGGTAGTCTAGCTCCAGGTGAAGCCATAGCTCCAGCTAAAAGCTGAGAAAAAGACCTATGCTCTGTTGAGTCAGGGTCAGAGAAAAAAGCTGAAACCAGTGTCATAGGCCCCGGACTTAGCCCTGAACCACTTGAAAATAAGCCATCCATGGCTGGTCTTGGTGGTAAAGTTATTGTTGGTCGTGTTGGAGCTGAAAGCTTTGATCTTGCTCCTTGCTCAGCTACTTTCTCTGCCATTTTCCCTTGCTTTCCTCTGTTTTCTCCCCCTGTTTTGTGTTTATTATATTATATATCAGGGAACAAAAACTCTTTTTTTTTTTTTGTTCTTTGTAAATTGGTTGGTTCTTTTGATAGTTTCGTGTTATCCTCGACTATGTTTATGTCTGTGAGTAGAAAGTCTAAAGAGGTGAATTGAAAATGACATAGTTTTTAATTTAATTTTTAATAATTATTAATTTTCTTTTTATTTCTTGTGGTATTTTACATAGCTTTTATTTAACCTACACGGTACACTATAAGGAAACAAATTTTTTAAGCAAGGGTTAAAAAAATATTTATATTAATTAGATGTTTAATTACTACAAAATTTAAATTTTGTATTTTTATTCATTGATATAATTTTTTTATTTTCATTAATTAATATAATTTTTATTTTGTTTCTAATAATAATTTTGTATTTTTTCAAATAATAGAGTTCAAAGGCTCTAAGTTTTTTTTTAATTGTTTTAAAATACAATGAAGATATTTTTAAATATTTTTAAAAATTATAATCATGCAATTTTTTAAAAATATTTTTAGCATATGTGGCTAATAGAAAGAATTTTATTTCTTTTTTTGCTTTATCAGCTCATATTATGAATTTTTGTCACATTCAAATTTAGCAAAAATTACAAAATAGATAATAACCTTATATACAATGTATAACTTGATTTTACATTTTTTTAAAAAAATTTTAAGACAATATTAAATCATATAATCACTTTAGGCAATGTTTAGTGTATAATATTGTACATAAGATAAAATAATAATAATTTTATACCATATTTAATTTATAATTAGAAAAAGTGATAGCATTACAAAAAGTATTAATCATTCTCTTGATATAAGATGATTTAATCTTTTAAAATGAAAATAATTATTTTTAATTCATGAAATTAAATTTACATATTTTATTATATTTTTAAAAATTATATCAATAATTAAAATTATATAAATTATTAAAAAAAATTTTTGACAAATAAATAAAATTATTTTATCATAATTTTTATAAGTATCAAATATAAAATAAAATAATATTATTTAATTTAATTATATTAATAAAATTATTTTATTTTATATTATTATAATAGTATATATCAAACACGAAGTTATTTCCATTATATAATTGAGACATTAAATCAATACAAAAATCATGCTGCCATATCATAAAAACATTTGGCATAAAAAATTTTATTATTTTTCAATATTTTGAATCATGACTTAATATTGTATGCCTACGCAAATTGAATGTAAAAACCTTAGATAGGAGCATCAAATACATTAATCAATATAATTAAAATAATGACAATTGAGCAAGATTTGTCCACTTGGATGCCCATTTGGGTGGTTTTGAGACATGACGGTTTTTTGCCCGAGTGAAATGTCAAAAAGGCAGCCAAGAAAAGGTTATGTCTATGAATTGACTTCTTGCCCTCCAAAGCCGGCATTTATAGTCTTTCGGACAAGAGGACGACCAAATATCAACCACCACTGGGAAAAAAACATGTTCTACTCACATGAAAAGTGCATCTCTCACCTTTTCATTTATATTTTTTTATTTGTAAAAAATAAAAGGCAAAAAGATAAAATGAAACTATAGAATAAAAATTTAATAATTATTTAAATTTTTAATATTTTATTATAATCAATTAAATTTTTTATTTTTTATTTCAAATCATTTAAATTTTTAAATATTTATTTTCATGCAATTGAGTTTTTAATATCTATTTTCACAAAAAATTGGTGTTGATAATTAACTAATTTTTATTTAATAAAGAATCAATTAATAAAAAATAAATATTTAAAAATTAATTGATTATAATAAAATGATATGGATTTGGATGGTTATTAAATTTTTACTCAAAAACTTTTTAAATTTTTTAATAAAAAATTTAAAATAAAAACATTTATATATTTATCATTGGATCAATTGTTTAGATTCATTTTTTTTTATTTTTTAATAATTTTGACTAAGTAACGACTCTAATTACAATTAAGAAATCGACTTTTGTGCATGAACAGTTTTGTAAAATCTAAATCAATTCAATCAAGAATAAAATCCGAAGTTGCTATAAATTGCAAATCAAGTTGAAAGTCTAGAGACCTTGACTTGATTTCTTTGTTGTACATGTTTTGGGTGGACAAGTTCAACCCAAGAGTGAATCCAACGAAACCCTTGTCATCCCTTTTAACAATCTAGTGATTTGAGTACCCTTGTTTTATTTTATCATTATGGAAAAATTGTAAATTTGCACACTAATTTTTTTTTATTAATAAGAATAATTGATTTTAATAATTGAAAAAGTTGATTTGAACTTGAAATTTTATTGACATTACATGACATCTCACGGAATTTTTTTTAATACACATTTTTTATTTAAATGTTTGATATTTTATACATAAATAATAAATAAATAAATATTTGAATATATATTGTCCGAAGAAATTTGACAATCAAGAAACATAAATATTGATGCAACAGATGAACATTGTTAATACAAGTATTACTGAATTGTGCTAATTATAAAATATTATTCACTTTAAAAGCTCAAAATTTTATTATCGTGATTTTGTCCTTTAAAATAAATATCTCAATAAAAAAAAAAAAAAACGTAATCTTTACTTATAAAATTATAGTAAGACAAAAACGTGATCTTTACTAATATTCAAAGATTAGACTATAACTCTGCAGAAGAGCTACTCTTATCCTATCCAGAGGTATTTTCTCTAAAGGACAAAACCGTAATAGCAAGTTTTGGAATTCCAAAACGAAAAATATAGAGTAACAAACACATCCAATAATTCTAGCTTGTATCAAAAATATCAATCCTATGTATCAAAGTTAACCAAGAGACGAAGAGCTTCAGATTGTGACAGTCAGCATCTTACTGCCCTATACGTCTTGTAAACTATATTTATAATACCGTTTCTAACCTCTTAATTTTTTCTGTAATTTTTTTATTTTACATATAATTAATCAATTATAATTTAAGATTATATAAAATTTATTCAAAATTTATGTAAAATTCACATTTAAAAATAATATATTTTTATATAATTTTTTATTATATATAAATAATTACAATATTATAATAAAAAATTTTAAGTAAAATACTCCCATAAATTTCACCATTTCGGGTTCAAGCACAAAAGTGGGACCAAGCCATACTCGAGATTTATCCACGTTGGATTGGATCATCCTCAATTTGTGGGTTGGGAACATTCAGATGAGTCATGAGGACTCCACCCAAGTGCTATAATACCTAGGTAGCCTCCATCATTATAATGTTGAACCCTATAATTTCATCATTATTGTATCTCCATCATATGGTTGAATCCTTTAAATATTAATCATCATACTTTTTTAGACTTTAATGTTTTCTTTTCATCAAGATATTTTAGATCAATGATTAGTGTACAATATTTTATATAAAATTTTGAATTTTATTTTTTAAATTAAAAAATTTATTTTTTTCAATTTTGTTTTGGCATCTTAAGAAAATTTTAAAAGTAAATAAATTAATTGGACCTTATACTATTGAAAAAGTTCAAACTCAGATTCAGATAAATGATCAATTGAATTAACTTACACACCCAATCATTCATTTTTGCATTGCCAATAAAAATGCCTGCAATCAGCAAAGGAAATTGCCAATTTTATTTCTTTAACAATGTATTTATTAACATTTCTAATAGCAAAATATTATGAAAGATTTGGAGCCATAATTCAAGGCGGCCACAAATTTAATAAGACTATATTCAATGAACACATCCTTCAACCATTGGGCTTAATTCATTATTTTATGGCCAAAATGAACTATGTTGCATGTACGTTGGTTAAGGAGTTATAATTCAAATTTGCTTCTTCACAAACATGCATAGAGCAAAGTCTCAAAATCTGCCAAAAATCTTCTCAAAGGCTGCTTATCCAAGTTTTCCTTCTTGATGCTGACATCAAGTCATTGACCCAAATCATCATTTCTTATTTTATCAAGCAACATTTGGTAGTTTAAGCTAGATAGGCCACAATGTTTAAATATCTTCCAAATGTGAAATCAAAGCATTCTAGATTAATCACATCAACCTTGTTCATTTGAGCTTAAATAGTTTGGATCTCTAGACACAGCAAGTATTTGAGTTATGTCTGTGAGCGCTTGAAGCATAAGTTGTGTGTGGACCACAATGTTGTTCTCCAGAAAATAACATCTCCATAATGGAACAAATGTGCACAAAAATGAGAGACCAACAAAGGGATCAAATCAATGAAAAATCCTAAAATGCCAGCTGAATAATCCAAAAAGGGAAAGTACAAAAGGAATTAATGTTATTTTTTAACTTCGACTGTTCAATTCTGCTTACTTACAAATAACGTGAAAATAATTAACAACAATTTTACAAAATATTAGTGTTTTGTGAATAATCGAACAATTGAATTATCGAATATTACAATTTGAACAATCGAATTATCTAACATTTTATAAAGAAAAAATGTTGGGGGTCTGGTTTTTTTTTTTTTTTGCTAGCAGAAATTGACGTGGCTGCAATCAAGTTGTAAAATGTTGGCATCGAGTTGAAGGAGGCCAACTTTGGGCAACTTACTCATTTTTTGTTCCTTTTTCTTTTAAAGTAGACACGGTTTTGCATTGTCAACAGCCCAATTCTAATTAATAAGTTGTCTTCAAAAGAAATTAATAAGAAATAAAAAGAAAAAAAAGGGGGTGGCGGGGGAATCTGTCAACTTGGCTTGGTTTTTTGGTGGAGATTTGAAGTCTATTTGCACGTCAAAGAAATAAATAGATACTATTGGGATTCAACAGCTCATTTTAAAAGCAAAACAAAATCAACTAAAATTTGAATAATACATAATATTCTTTCATGGAGTAAGATTAGACTTATTCACAGGTTAAGCTATTCATAAATCTAATTTTAAATATGAGTTTTGAAATTAAAATTCCATGTGATTGGATTTAAAATTTTATTTTATTAATAATTTTTTAACGTAATTTTAAAATTTATTTACAATATTAATATTTTAATGTTTTTATTAAAATTGAGCCTTCAGACATAACAGATCAAGCTAAATATTGAACGAGTCTTTTTAAAAGGTCAGTCAAATTCGGCTGGACTCATAAATAAATTTAAAAAATAATAATAATTTCTTAATTTAAGTTCATAAAATTTTTTATTAAAATTTAATAAAAATTAAAATTGATGTATTAATGAAATTCGTTCAATTATACTTTTCGTATAAATTTAAAAAACGAAAAAAATTCAAAAGTCAAATTTTCATATAAATTAAAAAAGACAAAAAAAAAATGGTGAGATAACGAGAAAAATAAAACAATCGTGGGAAGATTAAATTTAATTATTAGAAATTAAGGCAAAAGAAGTTCAAATAAAAATCAGTCGAAACTTGATTTTTAACAAAAGCACTATAATAACATCAAGATCTTGGCTTAGTAATAAGGACTAAAGAGAAGGTTTTAAAATTGAGATTTTAAATTAAAGTCTTTTATTATGTGTATTTGATTTAACTTTATATTAAATTTATTTAATTATATTCTAGTTTATTGGCTAATTTAATTTATTATTCAATGATCATTAAATATAAATATAACACTTGCTTATGATGTATTAACTAAAATTTTTAAATATATAAAGGTTAATTATAAAATGTACCTTTCAATACGGTGAGAATGCTCTCATTATGCTATCAAATGGAGCTTAGCTTAGTAAATCCTATGTTATATTCTAGGAATTAAACCAGATGTAGAAGTTCATCTGATGCTAATGGACTGAACAATTTTAAGTTTTGAAATGTTTTATTGTTAACAGTTAGCATATTCTTCAAGTCATTTTGCTGATTATGGTGCAGGCAAAGAAGGGAAGTGATGTAGGAAAATATGCCTGGAAAACATGCAACCAAGTGTTAGATGCTGATCTCTGGCAACTTTTATCTTCATTAATCAATTATTAACTTTTCAAATTAGAAGAGAATCATATAAATAAACACTACTAATTAAAATTACGTCACATAATTCCTGATTGGTTTATCCTTTCGGATTGACCTTGTGATTGAGATATTTTACTCACTGATATTTTACAACTCAATTGAACTTCGAAGACAAAACCAAATCCATGATCATATGACAGATATACCAAATTCCATCAAGCGTTGACAATAGAGCATTCTCTTCGTTTGGTAAGAAGGAAAGAAAGATAAAAGAAAAAAGTATAAATCTTTTCAATTGATTTACTGCTAGATGTAGTCAGTATTGTAATTTCATCACACACTTATTTTTCTTGCAATAACATTATACATTAAGGATTTTATACTCAAAAATGCTTTCAGAAGAATCAAAATATTTTTAATTTACAACATTTGAGCACTTTAAAGCCTTTGTCAAAGTGAAATCTAGTTCTGGAAAAACGACATTTTTTTTTTCTGAAACAATGTCCTATTAGGTTAGCTGGAATTTTTTATAAAAACTTCTCCACATTCATATTGAGGTTGTTCTTGAACTAAAATGTTATTAATAATAATAAACAATGATAAATTGATAATTTAGCAAACTGTGTATATTTCAGAATTCTACCAAGTTTTTACTGCCAATGGATTCTCTTAATAGCAGCCATGGGAAGGTTAAATTAACGTGCTAGATTTATCGTAAACTTGTGTGACATTTCTGAAAGATAATATTACAAAGCAAATGTGTAAACTTTGCTATCTTGCAGTAAAGATTTTCTTTTCCTTAGATTGTTAAAGGCTGGAATTGTAATGAGTGAGCAAGTACAAAATGAACATTTTGATCCTCCATACCAGAGTCTAAATCTTTCAACATCCATATCCTGCACCTTGAAAACCATGTTAATTATCAGCTATAGTCATAAGTGTAGGTATTTGGCCATGATTGCAGAAGTCGATCTTGTTGAGTCGCAAACAGCACAACACTTGCTCTGGCAGTTCCTCTTGTTTCTGTGCCTGTTGATAGAAGGCAAAAATCATTAGACTGAAGTACACAATTGAGAAGTTGCTTGAAAGATGTTGCAGTATTCTGTGAACAGTTTCCTTTCTGTTTCTGATTATCCTGTGATTTATTGATGAATGCAATCAGATTGGTGTCTTACCTGGATGGTTAAGCCCAGATCAAGTATTCCATTTTTCAAACGGTCTCGGAATGACTCAAGTCCCTTCCTTGATATGTAACTGAAGCGATGAATGTCCAAATCAATCTCAAAGTAATTTGGGCCCTGCACGAGAAATAGAATCAACACCCTCGTAACTGATCGTATGGTGCAATGACTTGGTTGTTACAAATTACTATCAATGGGGCAAGGTGTATGCATTTTAATTCAGAAAAATTAAATACAATTCAAGCAGAGAAACTAAATCTGAAGTGTTTATACTCTTATGACTCTAGAAGAGACCTAGAGTTTGCCGAAATCTACATGAAGAAACTGAAACCCATTGGGATTATTTCAAGCATTGTGTAAATTCTTATTTAGGAATAGTATCATATTTTATTGGATCAGCAAAGAAATCCAGAAAACTAGCTAATTATGTGACTCGTCATTGGACAAAAATTTTGTTTAATGATGGTGCCCTTCTGCTTATGTTCTTAATCTATCATCACACTGAACACTAATAAAGCCAACATACAAAGTAGGAACTTATGTTATTACCTTGTAAAAGTTGTGCTGAGGGCGTGAAAGAACCGGCTTTTCATTATAAGCATTTACAAGTTTCTTTTCAGTAGAACTCAGATTGAGATCATCAGGATTAACCAACCCAGCCATGATCTTTAGCCTTTCTCTGAAGGGAACAGTAGAATCTTTCGTGAACCCTTTAACCTTCTCCATCTCATCCTCAACGAATTTCTGGAGCAAAAATACAAAACTCTCAACAGATAGTACATGGTGAATATAGTGCCAGATATGGAATGAATAAAGTTGGCTACCAATGCTTTTTTTTTTTTTTAATGAATGCTACCTAATGCACTTGGTATACGGGAAATAAGGTCACATTGATTCAAAAAGATATGTTCATTCTGTGTTTTTTTTTTTTTTTTTGTGGTTCACTTTTCACATCAGCTACCATACTAGCAAAACAAAATACTCTAGCAAACAAGAGGACATGCATCATGCCAAGAGAGAGATGCACATGTATTATACATCGGAATGCATAGAAGTAGTACCTGAACCAGTAAGAGCATCTAATTTAATCTCCTAAGTGATTCTCTAGTAGCAAAGAGGAATAGCTCAGAACCTTATCATCTCAAACACTCAGTTTAAGCACCCTTCTATTACTGTGACAAATGATATTAACAATTCTTATCCTCATTATGCTGCACATTATAGTGAGTCCTGGGAGCTATAGAATTACAATAGGCTAAGGGCATGACCTGAATATTATAGAATTAAATACAGACACTCATTCATAAAGTAAAATTTTATAATGTTACCTTGATGCTCTCCTGATATTGAGGAGAGATGACTCTCTCAAAATTCTCAGAAACTTTGAAATAAAGAACAAGACTCATTCCTTCACCATCACTATCACCAAGGAACATTGCAGCAGGATAAGTAGGCAACTGCAACAGGACACACAAGACAATAGTAAGAAACGTTATAAGAAATTACTGGGAAGCATTTTTTATGGACAAAATTGAGGTCTAATATTCCACCAAGATACCCGGACAAAGATTAAAAAGGAGAAAAATAGATAACCATAATAGAAATACGGGTACGCCTAAACATACCTGAATATTAACAACTAGAAGAGGAGGGACTTTCCCATTTGCTTTTACATTAGGAAGCTCAATATGTTGGGCAATGTGATTTATCTTTCTTGGGCAGATAAATAAATCAACACCTATTGGAGTATATGGGGAGTACTCTGGAGCAGGAGACTTCCGTTTATCTCTGTATGGCAATCAAATATAGAAGTTAAAAATTAAAAGGACAGAAATACATAACAGTATAATTGCGAACTTCGATAGAATAACTACAAGTACAAATGCCAACAAATCAAGGGAGAGAATCACTAGCATACTTGAAATAGGTCTCGCCTCGAAGTTTAAAAGTTGAGGGTGGAATCTCAGACCAACATCCTCGATTTGCCTTCTCATCCTTGCTACATGGAATTATATATCCTGCTCTGGGACGATATAAAAATCGTTTTGACGAATCTGTATATACATCAATGAAGTTGATATTATATGTAAAATTTCTACTTGAACTCAACATAAATTGCCCAAAAAAATTTTAAGAAAATACAATCAATATATGACCACTAACAACATGACCATAAAAGAGAAGAGTAGAAATTCTACTGCAAAGACCATGGAAAGATCTATCAGTTTGAATTACTTACATTCTTCATGTTTGTCTTCTCCATCACATGATGATCTCCTCTTAAAAGAAAGCCTAAAAACTGCTAATTTTTTTCTTTGGGATTGTGGAGCCATAGTTGACGTCAAAATCTTGTCATTGAAACTCACAGAAGGAACCATTCTGGACAAGCCAGACCTTAATGTTTTCTCTTCGGAATTACGCTTATCCTCTTTCAGACCTTTAAAGCTTCCATGAGAATGATCTAACAGTTTCTTCCTCCTACTACAAATATCATCAGCCTTTCCAAAGCGTGAAAGCTCATGACCCTGGCTATTAATGAGAGAAAATCGGTTTGACTCTTTCAGTTCATCTTTGCTCATTTTACCTCCATCTATTTTTAAATAACTTTCATGGTATTCTTCATATTTACACTTGCCATCCACAAAGCATGAAGAACTTTCATATTGAAGCACCTGGCCACTTGATATATTGCCAATTGCATTGCCCACTGATGGAAAACCATCTGGAACAGAAAATTCAAGAAAAAAATTATATAAAATAAGATGGTAATAGATTATTAAATCTTCCATTTGTCTGTTCAGAATCGGCAAAATAGAACTGCTTACTCAACAACATAAACAGTTTGTAATGTAGAAATTTATCAATCATAAATATGTGATATATTAGCCCCAACAGTCTAAAATTCAGCAGATGCAGAAAAATATAGACCAGATAACGTGTTAGTTTTATATTCCAATAGATCTGACAACTATGGTGATTGATCGATATTTCAGCCCCAAATCATTCCATTGCTCTGTCATCATGTTTTATTTTCTTTTACAGAAAGCAGCACTCCTTCAAATACAATCAAGGAAAAGTTGAATCTTTTGTTACCTCCATGAACACTGATGAAATCATCATCTGAATCAGAATCCAGAATACTGACTGAATCAAACCAAGCATCCTCTTGGCAAGCTACCGCAAAAAAAAAAAAATCTTTTGTCAATTTCAATTTTCTTTTGTGGCAACAACATACAAAAAATTTATTGGTAAAGAAAAAAAAAAAAAACAAAATCCTTATAGTTGGAGAGTTATAAACTTTCTTTTTTTTTTTTTGGAAAAAAGAATGAAATTTTGCTGATCAACCAAAGGAAATATATAACCCAACTCGCTCTGAAAAAAATGTTTTACAGTATTTCTTCTCAAGTTTTTGGTAAACATCTATATTCTTTAACAAAAGGAAACTGCAAAATATTAATATCGATGAAAAGCAAGGATCTACCATTTGCATCAATTTGACTAAGATGCCACTGCAATTGAGTGAGATGGAACGTGGAGTTTGAAACCTCAGATCTTCTACACGTAGTGGTTTCACCCTTCTCAAAATCCATATGTACATATTCGCTAACAGCTATATCTGTTACACGAGCATCACTATTCCTTTTCTTGGTTCCATCTGTGATAGAACCAGAAACCTTCCCATGGCATTTTCTGGACCGACGACGGTGCCTTTTCTGTGTCTGGATTCTTTTAGCTGGTATTGACAGACAACTCCCCATTAAGACTGCTTAATTGCCGAACCCTGTTAACGGAAAATATTGTCCACATTAGATATGCAAACCCTTTAGCAGGAAGCCTAATGTACTATACAAAGAGAAAAGAACTTGCGACTAATGGTAGGCATTATCAACTGCTCAGTTCAAGAAAAGATGTTTCTATAGGTGAATATATATGTAACCATCATGATCATAATCATTAAATTGCTTAGATGACAGAAATCACATATTATCAAACAAAAATAGATTTAAACAACTAAATTGGGAACCCAATAGAATTTCTCATCATGGAATCTAGAGCTCAGTAGTCAAATGCATAAACCTGCCATATTCACAATATCAGAAAAGCCATTTTAAGAAGGAAAAATACTTAAAAAACTCTTGATAATATCCAAAATCAACAAAAAAAAAAAAATTTTCTGAACACTTAGGATGATCAGTGCCAGGAAGACCCCTGTTTAAGCTGGAAGCAGCACCCATGTGAAGTTTAATTAGAAATATAAAATGGAAAAGCTGAGAAGCAAAGACAAATAGGCTCCATATCCAATGAGGTTAAAGACACAAAATGAAGAGGATTGTGGACAACTCCACAAAATAATTTAAAAAAGAATGATTTACTAAAAAACTAAAAAGAAATAAATCTGTCCCACATCAGAAAGGATTGTGAAATGGTCAAATAACTAAAAGTGAAAGGGAAAACTGAGAGCTACACAATTTATATACATAAAAAAAAGTATTAGTGAGTAACAAAGAGAAAAATTTTTAAACAATTTTTGAATCCAAAATTGTAACTTGAAACCAAGACAAAATACAACCTAAATTCGAAAAAGATTTTTTTTTCCAAAACAAAAAGGAGGAAATTTGTCCACATTTAAAGGAAGCAAGACAATGTTCCAATAAAATTATGTGAAAACGACATTAGAAAGAGAATATAAACAACATACTATCATATTTCTAAGAAAAATGGTAAAGGAAAAACAGAAACTTTGAATCCAAAACTGAAAATTAGAAGGAAAAACACAACACCGATTATAAAAAAAAGCACAAATTTTATTGGTATGAAAAATTCGAGGTTTTGAAGAACAGAAGCAAAAACAAATATCTGTACAAAGAAAATGTAATAGAAAAACCAAAGTTTAGTGCATATTAATACAGCCGTTATAAGCCATACCCAGAAAACATAAAAGAATCACAACAAAGAAAAAAAAAAACAAGAAAAGTTAACCAGAAAAGGATCAAAATCAAATAAAATACCTTGAGAACAAAGAAACCCAAATCCAGCAATGGGATCTCTCTCTAAGAGGCTCTGCACAGAAACGGAGACAAAGAAAAACAGGACTATGTCAACACATATGGATGGGTCGGATCCGGGTACGATGCATAGAAGATAAAAATCTGAAAAAAAAAAAAAAAAAAGGCTGCAAGCCTTTTTGTTTTTGTTGTTTGTTTTGAAAGAAATAAGGAGAGGAGAGAATTTAAAGGGATTTTGATGGTTAATAAAGGGGTTAGCTAAATGAAAAAAAATGGTTAAGCTGGGATTCTGTTGCCTTGAATTTAGCTTCTTTGTGGGTTTTTTTTGGTGTGACGATTGCAATAAAGATTTTGAGCTGGCTTTCTTAAAAGCTTTGTCTCTTTTTCTGTTCCTTTTTTCAGTTTGTTGATGTTGTCTGAACGCCACGTTTCCTCTCAGAAAATTTAGTTGATGGATACGCGTTTTTGTCAGGTAACCATTGGTAAGTACTTAGTTTTCATTTCATTTTATTTTTTTACAAAAAAAAAAAAACTTGAATTACTTTTATATTAAACATTGATCTATAAACACAATTAAAAATAATTAAAATATTATTTTAGAAAAATTTATTAATATACAATTTTCATTAAATTAAAAAATCATTACTTTAATGTTTCTGAAATATCACTTTAAAAACATTTTTTTATAACCATTGATTAAAGTTAGTTAAAATATTATTTTTTAAAATATATTATTTTATAAAATTTAAAAATAATAAAAAAACATTATATTAAAAAGTGTTATTAAACATTTAAAATTCCCTTAATAATTATCATGTAGGAGAATACTTTTTGTTTTTATGTTTTTCTTTTTTTATAGTTAACATTAAAGTCTCATATTTGAATTAAAAAATGATGAAATTTTGTAACATAGGAAAAAAAAATTTATAAATCAAAACTCGACAAATTCTATATTAATTTTATAAATACTGAGCTTTTCTAATATTGTAACAAAATTCCATCATATAGAACAGTAACTAGACATTAAAAAAGAAAAATTAAAAAAATTAAAAAATAAAAAAGAAAAAGAAGTGGTTATCAAAATGGAAATATGACGAAGTCTAACAATAATTTGGAGCATCTAATTAGGATATAAAATAAAATTTACTTCGGTAGGTGAGGGGAATTTGCCTAGAAAAGGTAGTGAGAATAGGTTCTGTATAATTTCAACTTTAAGAACAAACTTAGTTTTCAACGAACATTCTTTGAAACATGTGTTGCATCAAAGTTAAATTAAAGGGATATAGATATGGATTTTGAATTATAATAAAATATTTAATATGATATTTAAATTTTAAAAATTTTTAATATAATTTTTAAATTATAAATTTATTAATTAATATGATATTTATTGATAAGATAATTAACTTCAAATGATGATATAATATGAATAAATAAGTTTTTAATTATCACATTAGTTAATAATTTTATAATTTAAGTATTAAATTAGATTTTTTTTTAAATTTAAGTATCATTTTTAATATTTTACTATAATTTAGAAATCATTTGTAATATTATGTCTAAATTAAATAGCAATATTTATTTAATGTTACAATAACTATATAAATTAGGGTTATAATTAGTTTGGGATATTCTTAGATATAAAGTTTGCAAATATGCTATTAATATAGCATTAAAATATCAAATATTCTGTGGATGAGATAAAATCTCTTTCAAATTTACATATCAAAATTAAAATTGTGGCATCCACATTGTAAGAATATATATATATATATATATATATAGAGAGAGAGAGAGAGAGAGAGAGAGAGAGATAAATAGATATAGATATATGAATAAGGTTCCATTTACATTAATTCAACTGTTATATACTTTTTTTACTTTTGGGTCAAAATTAAATCTATAACATTAATACTTAACTATTTTGATCCAATGATAAAAAAATATATAATACATATATTAGTATAAGTGGATTTTTACTCTTTTATATATAAATATATATATATAGAGATGAAGAATTTACTTACACTAGAGTAAAATATTTTAATTTTATGTCTCTTTCTAATAATTGATTTTAATAAATCTAAGTGATGAGATAAATAATTCAACGAGGGAAAAATTGCTTATCTATTAAAATTATTGGTTAAAAAATATATAAAACAAAAAATTTACACTGTTGTAAATTGATCTCTTTTTTGTTTCTCTCTCTACAATATATATATATATATATATGAAGTGGTCTTTAAGTTTAAATAATGTTATTGAAATTAAAATTTGAAACTTAATTTAATTGATTTATATAATCACTCTTAAGAAGTGGTATTTAATGGATTTGAATTTGAATCCTAACACATGCAATCATTTCCTTTATCTAAAATTATAGTCTCTTTTATATAAAAAATAAAAAATTATATAAAGAGGGTTGTTATTTTTTCTTCACGTTGAACATTTTTTTTTTAATCTTTTTATTATGATCATGAAAGTCTAGGCTTTTGCTTTTTGGGTTACATAAACCTTAAGCTTTTATTGACTTTAGTTTATTTGTATAAAGTTAGGTGAAAATTAAATTTTAAGCTAAGAGAATCAATTTAGTATGTAACTAACAAACATTTGGTGTAATCTGCCACTATGTTTAAAATAAAGAATTTTCAAATCAATTTCAAAAGAAATTAAATTTTCTTCAAATTTTATTTTAGATTAATTATAACTTAAATTTAAAATATAAATTTATAAAAAATTACATAAATGTGTAAGATAAAAATAAAAAAAATAATTTTTTATAAAAATTATTGGTATTAAGATTATCATACTTATTAAATACTTACTAGAATGAGATAAAAATAAATTTAAAATATTTTATAAATATAAATATAAAGATAAATATAATATAAAAAATCAAATATAAAATTGAAGAATACTCTATCTGTCCTATAACTATTTATTGACATTTCTACCCGTGTACATAAAAAAAAAAAAAGAAAGAAAAAAGAGATAAAAGAGAACATGGGTTTCTGGGATCTATATAAAAAAGTTGTACTTGCTATAATAAAATTTTAGTAATTTTGGAAACTCAAATTTCTCGGAAGCTAAGAAATTGTGTTCTCCATTTGTCCAGATACTATTTTTTATTTTGGATTAAGCCACATGTAAAGCTAAAAGGGAAAAAAAAAATCCATTATTTCTTGTTGACATGATCTTGATCACCTAATTAAATACAACTATCAACATCACTTTTTTCTTGCCCCTTCCACCATTGCCTCCTTTTCCACCAAACTTTTTCAATTGAAATGAGAAAAGATAACTTGAAAAGATAAATAGAATCAAGAACACAACAGTTAAGAAGATCAAAATTTAGAAAGAAAAAGCTGTCCTTTTTAAATTTTTTTTTCTTACTTTATTTTTCTAACTCCTTTTTATTCTATTAACGGTTAACTTATCTCTTATTTCACTTTTTTTTTTTTTAAATTATGCAAACCCATCTAATACACATTTAATTTTATACATTTATATAATACACAGCTTTTAAAATTCCATTATAATAAATAAATATTTTAATACTTTTTACTTATGAAACGATTCAAACGTAAAATCTGAAATTTCAAAAGAAAATGAAGATTCCTAATAAGTGAAATCAATGCAGTAATTGATTATTTTTAAAAATTATAATAAACAAAAAAACACAATAATTATCAAACGCAAGCCAATTACTACGTGTGATAATTATCAAACGTAGTATCTGTTTGGCAAAATGACAAGCTTTAAATAGAGCAGATACTACGTTTCTATTAACACAAATGCAGTAAAAATAATCAATTACTTCATTATATGTTTGATAAATGCAGTATTCTATGTAAAATAAAAAAAAATTAAGAATACTTCAAATACTTTATTTTTTTTCAAAAATTACAATAATTAATACTACTCAATTAAATAGAAAAAAAATACTACTCCATTAAAAAAAATTCCACCAAAAAGTTTTTGTATCAGCAAAAAATACCTTACCATTTCTTGAATTTTAAAAAAATAAAATAAAAAAAATATTTTTTATTTAGGTCAAATGTAAAAATAACTTTATGACAAAATCGCTTTTGATTTTGAAACTTTTAGATATTGTTAAGAATTTAATATTATTAAAAAATTAAATACCATACCAAACGTAAGAATCACATTTTTACAAGTACAAATTTTAGAAAAAAATCTTAGATTCCTCCAAATTAAACACACCTTAAATTCTTAAAATAAAAAAAAATAAATATATGAATATATAGTTTATCATTTTAGTATATGTAGCACTGTTCTTTTTTATATTTGATTTTGATGTGAGGGTGCATGGTCACTACAAAAAAAGAACACACTTTTTGTCACATAAGGTTGGGCTTAAATCGCATCAATCATTATTATATAAATCGATCAAGGTATACCCAAAGTCAATTAAGATACTAATTATTGAAATTACTTGAACTTAACCAAAAAGCCAAAAAAAAAAAAAAGAAGAAGAAAGCATATCAATTATAAATATTGAAAAGAAAATGTTATCCAAAAAAATAATTGTTGTTTCTAATCAGTAATCACTCATTTGGGCGAGGCATATCACTCAACTGTTGTAACTAAAGGAATTTTTTTTTTATTCTTAAGATAAATTTACATTATTAGTTTTTAAATTTTTTGTGACTTGAAAATCTTTGATTGTTTCATAGGTAATCTTTTGAATTTATTTAAAATCCATTCATATGCCAATACTTTATTAAAATTTAGATGAAATATAGATAAATTTATCACGTGATGCTTTAGTAGACATATAAGTGAAAAATGTTGTTCAAATTTAATGACATATTGATCGATTGATGTATTTGAAACAAATTTACAAAGTCATGAATGAAATTTTGAAAATTTCAAGTCGTAGATAAAACTGAAATTTTATGAAAAATATGAATTAAGTGATGATATTTAGTTAGTTTTCGACATAATAAGAAAAGGTTTTTGGATAATATAATTAACAAGAAAAAAATTCGTAAATACTTTGAGAGCTTGTTGTTAACTAACAGCAAATCTGATTCATATTTAAACAGTTTATTTAGATGAAGTGTTTAGTGAATCCTTCTCTAATTGGGCAATCTTTACTTTAAATGGTCTGTCTCTTTTTCTTTTTTTTTTATCATACCAAACTAGCTAATAATTAACACTTGGTCATTGGGCATGATATTAGATTAGGTAGAGATTTAAGAGTTTCAAAAGTGGCTGATGCCTAACATAAAAAGTGTAATTTTAGATTCCAACCCCATTCCCATAATAAAAGTTTAAAGTTAGATAGTCATGATTTCAATGATTCTTTAGTATATTTTTGTTTACTATAACATTTTTGAGATGGCAAGACAGTAAATGAAT